CGCTACGATTATTTATTATTTATTTGTATATTAATATCTTCATCTTACTTTTCTCTGTTATTATAACACTGTCTTTGATCTTGTTCTCTTCGTTTTTAAATAACGTCTTGGTTTTCACCTTGACGCTAGCTCTTGTTGCTCTTTCTTTTATTTTTTTTTATATTTTTTTTTTGTATAAAAAGGGATTTTCCCCGCTCGTTTAAATAAATTTAGAAATATTCTTGAAATCATTGTCATTTCCTCTAAAATTAAGAGGCATCTGGTGAGTTTCTAGTTTTAAACGGCTTTCCCCAATCTTGGCTTTTAATGTTCTGTGTTTTTTTTAATAAAACATAAAGTAAAAAAAAGGAATGGAAGATCGGAGAAACATATCGGGGTCAAAACGGAACGAACAGAACGAAAAAAAAAAAGGGAGAGAGTGTAGCGAAATACCGAAAGTTGGAAAAAGCCGGTAAGCCAGAAATTTACCAAATATCTCAAGTGTTTCTTTGATTGTTATTTCAGTTTTGTGTGTTAAACATTTTCTTAAAGTATAAGGAATCTTTTTTCATTCGCCAAACGATTGAAGTATAAAAGTTCTGAGACTGCGGCGAGAGTTAACGAATGCTATACTTGTTGTTGATTAGTATCGAATGTCGAATATGAGAATCAATAGCAGAATTTGAATTTTACTACCGAGGATGATAATACTGAATCAATAGTGTCAAAATATGTTTGAAAACATTTTTGATACTTTCGTACCTTTTGACATTTAATTATTATCACTTGATCCTTTGCATTTGAAGACTTTTCTTTAAAGCCTAGCAATTTATTTACCAAATAGTGAATAAATGATTTCAATTTTAGGTAGTTGTTACAAAAGTAATCATTTTCTTCTCTTTAATGAGCTTGAAATATAAAATATATTATCAGGAGCATATGATTGAGAGTAATTTTTTAAATTAATATTTTTAAAAAATTAAAAATATTATATTATTGCAACATGATTAAAATATTTAACAATTATGAAAATAGATATAATGAAATATAAATAGATATAGATAAATTATTTAATAATTATTAAACCGGATAATAAATATTTAATATTAAATAATTATATTTAATAATTAAAATAAATTGAATATCTTAATAATATAAAGTATTATGTATTTTAATATATAATTCACTCTTTAAGTTATAATATCGAAATTGTAATCTTATAGAATTGTAGTCCTATGGAATTTGAATTTTCAATTTCTTCAAACCGAACATTAATTAACATAATGCTTTTGCTTTCAATACTTTACATCTGACACGATGTAATATATTACATTAACTAATGTTAGAATGAAATCGTATTTTAATCATAATATTAAAATACTATGTGGTTTTTAAAGATTTGACGTGAATAAAAATTGAAGTATTTCAATTGAATTCATTTCAATCTGCGAATAAAGAAAGATGAAAATTAGAATTCATAATAACCAAGTTTGAGCATTGATCCAAATCATACAAACATTGTCAGCGGTGTGAATGATTCAAAGAACAAATGACTCTTAATTAAAGAAAATTGTCAGTGAAATTGAACAAATAAAGAAAGAAAGAAAGAAATTATAATCCAAACATACAACCTAGCCAAAAGGTAAAAAAAAGTATCAAAACTTATTTTTGCGAATATCTTCGAAATTACTGTTCGATAGTAATCCTAGATTCCATAAAAATGTCTCGGGTGTTCGTGATTTTTAATAAATTATGTCACCTACAAGAACTAATAAAATGGGACAATAATGATATTAATGTATATTCTAGAATTGCAAATCCAAATAATATATATCAGAGTCAAAGTTCAATACGCCTGAGGAATTGATGAAAAAGATTTCTGATAGAATTTACTGTGCAATAAATTCAATTTTTCAACAAAACAATATCTCGTTTTATTTATATTTAATTATCAGCATAACAATACCTTGAATATTCGAAATAAAAACTATCCAAAGGCTTTTGAACAGGAATGTATTTTACTGCTGTGATTGTGAGCCATTCTCTATCTCTCTTTGGCTAGAGATATACGTGACTGATAGCGACGAGTACAATAAAATCGTTGATAAATGGAAGCAGGTAGTCTAGTATCACACATACATACATATATCGAGTTGTATCAAATAGAGTAAATAGATAACCAGATTAGATTTCTCTCTCTCTCTCTCTCTCTCTCT